CAACCATCCCGCCCCCCCCCGGGCGCGGGCCCAGCCGCTCCGAGGGGGCTGCGGGACACTGGCTGGGCAGAGGCTTCAGACTCTTACCAAAAAATCCCCACAGAAAAAAGGCAGTAATTATATGCATGTATTTTTTATTTTTTTTTTAAACTTCATTTAAGTCTTACATTTTTTAAATTATAAGTCTGAATTGCTGCCTAAACCCCTACAGCTGGCTGACTTTTTAAAGACAGTGTAACACAGAGTTGAGGACATGATGAATTTCTCCATATTCTCAGATTTCCTGAGCCATTTACTTATTATGCCATGGTAAATAAATGTTCATTGCAGTGACATTTACCTTACTAGAAATAATTAGCCCAGCACATTAAAAAAAAAAAAAAAAAGGCGACACTTGATTTACCCTGTGACATCTGAATGACTCAAGGCCCTTTATGTCATTTTTGAAATATTTGATTCAGGCTTTGCAGGGTTTTAGTTCTAGAATATCATGGACAATCCAGCAATATCATACCATCAATTCCAATCAAAGCTGTCAATAATGTTATTTAGAAAATGGCAAACTCCCCACACATTTTGTTACTGAAAAATTTTTATAGATGGATATTAAAGCCATTACTGCTGCACTATGGTTACACCGTTAAAGGCACTAAAGGGCAGAAAAAGAACCCAAAAGTTTTGATGCAAATACCATGTTCACTTGTCCATGCTGTACATTCTCTATTTTTCATAATGAGGATATTTTCTTATCCCAGTCATGTATGGACTTACACAGTTAACAATGAAAGGCCTGGAATAGGGCACAGGAATTTATGCCACATTGGTCAAGTTAAGCCAGCGATGCTGAGGGAACCTTAACTTGTTCCATTTCCAACTCACGATGGTACAGACAAAGAGCTGCCACAGGAATTGCTTTGTAACCTTAACTGTAGTGTTTAAACAAGCGTTGTAATCACTGCCACGTCAATAATATTGATCATGTTCAAAGGCAGTATTAATGAAGTCTACTGAAAATAGCCCAAATTGACAGCTTAAAATGCATTCTCTAGTGTTTTTTTTTTTTTTTTTAAATACTTAAAGAAGCTATTTTGATTATTCATCTCCAACATCTGGCAGGCAGGCTGGCCACTGAGGGAACAGAAACTTAAGGACTTAAGGCTATTTCTATCCCTATTTCATCCCCTCAGACATCTTCCCCATCTTCCTCACCTTCTCTCTTGGCTCTTTAAACTTCACTCTGCACCCTCTTCTGAATCTCTTTTACTGTCTGGGGCCCGTACCTTTAATAAACTTAACGAAAGAAGAGTTTTCAGTTATCTGTTGAGAACAACTAAGCACTACAGTCTTGAACATGGCAGAGATTTTAATTTTGTCTGAAATATCCCACCAGGAAACTAAGTTATATTCCCCCTGCCACCCCCACCCTCAGCACTAGCTGAAGGCACAAAATAAAGTTTCCAAAAGTTGAGTTTGAAAACATCACAGGATACCTCTATTAGAGCTTGAAGGTCCAAAGGACTGAAAAACCAATTCCCCCTCCATCCACATTCTGCTTCTCCCTTTCCCTTTATGTCTCTGGAATAAGGCAAAGGGCCATAAAAGAACAGGATGACGAACAGGTTGGGATCCTGGTTGTTGTAGGATTCTGAAAATTTTTGAAAATACTTCCAGTATCAGAAATAGTAACCTTCACATTATAGCTTAGTAACCCAAGAAATCAAAGTTCCATAAGAGGAAGATGTCTGCAGCTTTAGCAGAGCCTTAGCCTGCCTCTTTAATTGCTGTACATAGGGAATGGATCAGAAGTCCTAGGTCAGAACAAGAGGTCCTCTAGTCCAGGACTACCACCCATTAGTCAAAGTCATATACTTAAAGCCTGAAATAGATAGGGGATAGAAAGATTCACCTATATGACCAACTTGATTCTTAACTGTTATCAATTAATTTTGAACCATGAACTGAACCATAACCTTCCCCTAGTTTTATAAGCCAAGTCCGTGGGTGTATTTGAATTTTCCAGAATTCTTGGTGCTTCTACTACCCTTCTGCAGTCAACTCCATAACTTAACCATGCATTAAGAGACTTTTTTCTTCCTTTTCTGAATCCTTACAGAGAAACTTCTACATCTGTGCAAGACAGTTTAGCGTCTATATACACTCAGGGGAGATGTAATCAATGTAACTTGCAGCATAATTCATCTCATTCTACAAGTCTACATTTGCTCAGAACTGTACTGCAAACTTCACTGGCTAGATCTTCATCAAGTGCAACAGGAGCGTAGACAACTAGAGCAAATTTAGACTGCTACATTTTAGAAACGCAGGGGTCCATTCAGTTGTCCAGACTTTCACTACAATTTGAGATGCCATTGGATGTCCTGCTTAGCCTCCAGCTCCAATTCCAAAATAGTGTGCATCTCCTGTGTAATACCAAACAGCCCCACCGTGATAGGATGCCTTAAGGCAACCCATACAGTTCTTGCCTTTCAAAGTAGTGGCCTCTGTCTCTTCTTGAAATTCCAGGCTATGAAGTTTCCTTAAACACTCTCTCAGTTTTTTCCTTACCACTTGGAATACTGGCCGCTCTGCGATAAGGCATTATGATGCCAGATAACATATTTTTCATAGCTATCCAAGTCTTCCCAAAGCACTGAAAGCTCAGTTTGGAAGTAGTCTTGAGGTTTGGTTTGTAGAAGGAAAGAACATAAGTTACTAGAGTCTACTGGTTCTTTCACGAGTAAACAGTTTCCGGTGCTGCAGTGAAGATATTCAATCCGCTTCTCATTTTGCTTCAGGGAAAGAAACTACCACAGAATGCTAATTAAGACAAAACATGAAATTTTGTTATCCGTTTTCAACATTTAGTCCACTCATTGTAGGATTTGACCCAGGAAAAGAAATAGCAGAGAGAGAGGGAGAAAATAAAAACACTTATTTGTAAAAATATTTGTCTATGTACTTCTATGAAAAAAGTGTTCTCCATTTCACAGATGAAGGAACAGCACAGGAAGAATACAAGAACTCCAATTCCCTTCTTCGTTTGTTCTGAAAAAGCATTAAAATGTGTAAGGAGAGCATGCATGTACTGGCTGAGTTTTAAAAACATTACTACTTCCTGTTAACCCAGTGGATGAATGCTTGAGCAACGGGTGAATGAGAATTCAGTAAAGAGGCATTTGCCTGCCAGAAAGTTACGATTTATCATGTCAAACTACGGAAGTGTATTATAATGTGCACTGATATAAGACTAGCAGCTTTTTTAGCACAGATACTGTCTTGCATACATCATTCATGCATTAAGAGCTTGCAGTATGCAGTGACATTCAGGATGTAAAATTTTAAACAAATATATATTTTACAAGTTATCAGAAAACGGGTTCACAGATTCCAGCTTTCACTCCATGTTGAATACATCAAGTGATATAAATAAAAGTGTTGAGTTTCACCGCTCCGATAAACATTGAGATTATTCTCAGTGTTTCTCATTCCTGGTAACATCTAATACTTCCGAAACATCCATTATCACCTTAGTGAAAGGACCACGACAGTTTCAGTTACGTCGTGTGAATAATGAGTTACATGCTGGCATCTCTTATTAGGCTAAGAGAAAAGCAACCAGCAAGTTGAAATTTGTATTTCCTGACTGCTGAGAATTATTGGGTAAGGCAGGCAAAAGTGTTTTAAATCTCCAGAAGAATAAGGTCGAGTAGGACAGACCAGCGTCAGGTAGTCATCCTGAGCACGTCAGAGTAGTACTCAAAACGAGCAATGCACCGTAAGCATTAAGATACAGCTAAGTCATTCGTTCTCAACAGGTGAGAATTAAAACGGAAAAGCTGATATGTGGAACAAAGTAGAACACAAGCTAATGAAATCAGCTGGACTTACTAACTTGAACTCCTTGCCAGAGCCACTTTTGCTGGGAGAACACAGGAATGGATGAAGGAAACATTCCTACAGCTTTGGGAGAGGCAGGTGTGACAGACAGGCAGTGGCAAGCCTAAGAAATATCAAGGAAAAATGGAGTGAATGAGAAGGAAAACATCATGATGGACCAATATCTGACAGTTATTTGGACACTGATTGTCAACACCTCAAGCTTAACAAATGCATACCCAGAATAGTCTCATTAGATCACAGAACCATTGAGACTAGAAAGGACCTGTGGAGATTGTCCAGTCCAATCCCCCTGCTCAAAGTAGGGTCATCTAGAGCAAGTTGCTCACGGCGGTGTTCAGTCAGGTTTTGAGAATCTCCAAGGACAGAGTCTCCACAACCTTTCTGGGCAACCTATTCCAGTGTTGGACTAAAAGGTTTTTCTTATATTTAAGGAAAATTTCCTCTATTTCAGTTTGCGCCCTTTGCCTCTCGGCCTGTCATGGGGCACCACTGAGAAGAGTCTGGCTCTGTATTCTTTACTCCCTGCCATCAGCTATTTATACATATTGATGACAGCCTTCTCCTCTCTTAGCTAAACAATCTCAGCTCCCTCAGCCTCTCCTCAAATGACAGAGGCTCCAGTCCCTTAGGACAGGGTAATATCAGTTCCACAGGTAAAGGATAAAAACGCTGTATGAGTTTGGAATTCTCCTTCGTATCTGTAAACCCGAACCACCATGCATTGACAAAGGTAACTTAAGAGGCCTGGTAGCAAACCTTGGATTCCTGAATGACAATTTCAACCTATCTGTAGGATAGGTAGAAGCTACACTAAGGGGATAATGAAGAAAAATACATCAGAGCGGGTAACTGCTTGCTCAGTACATAAAGCAACACCTAAACCTAAATCTTTTCTTACTGTTCTAATTCCACTTTTCTCAATTTCCAACTTGGTGAAAGAAACCAAACTCAAATAACCTAAGCTTCTATGACAGATCCAAAAGAACTAGATCACATGTTGATGGTTTTCATACTGCTGCCTCAATGCTTTTCCTTCAATCTATGCCAACACAACAGGATAAGCTTACAGAAAAATCTATATCCATACTTAATTACTCATTTTTGAAATTTTTAAAAATCAAGAACCCAATGCTATGTTAATACTACATATTTTTAATGAGTGCCTCTTTCAGAAATTATTTTTACATCAGAAATCATGAAAAGGGTTTTAAGACACTCAGCAGGATTTCTGCCAGCATGGCTGATGGTTAGTTTTTGAAACAAAGTCTCCATTTAAAATTTTGGGAAATAAAGTCCTTTTTAGAGAAGGAAGCTATTTTTTATTTAGATTGCTGATAAACAACATAAAAATGTATTGATAATTTTGAGCAACTCTCAAAAGAATTATTTGATAGGCATTACACACATGCCACACCATTTTCCTTCTCCAAAAAAAAAAAAAGAAAAGAAAAACACACAAACAAACAAAAACCCCCCCACCCCCATCCCCATCCATGGCAAAGAATCAGGTTGTTAGTAATTTTGCTAATTTTTTTTTAATTTCAGTTAAAAAAAATTCCATTTTGGCACTAATTCATTTTTTGACTTCTTGAAGTTTACAGTACTACAAGGAGGAATAATAGAGATAAGGTATTGCGTATTTAGACTTTTCAAAGAAAAGATTCTTCCTTTGTCCGGAATATCTTCTTCAGGTTTTCACAATGGACAGAATCATACTGCTTTTCACACAGTACTGAAAGCATTCTAGAAACTGTACAGAATAGCACTCTAAGCCTTGTGAGGTAATCATCAATGGGGAAAAAGAAGAAAAAAACTTCAATTTTATTGTTGTCCCATACAACAATTATTCCAATTATTTCAGAAGCATTTCCTAATTTTTTTTTTTCCCCTGGTGAATCTTGTACTCTTCAAAAGTTTAGTTTCCTTCATAAGCGTAACATTCTTCAAATGTCTTTGGTACAGCCTCTTAACGGTTTTGCAGAAGTCTAACCAGCAATACTGGGGGGCAGAGGAGGAAGCTACCACTTATGAATACTATTTCTTTTAAATAACCCCAAACTCATCAATATTTTCCAATAGGACGGAATTTTTTTGGCATATTCTGTTCTGGTCTAATAGAAAGGTCAGATGCGGAAATATATTTTAGCCAAACTTGCTACCTTGCATGTTTTGCCATTAAAAAGAAATGATGCTACACAAAATGGGTTTCTGCAGCAACAGAGATACCTATACTGCAGTTAAAAATATGGAATATGCTTAAACTTAATTTGGCCTCTCAGAGTATTTATAAAGCTAATAGCCTTCTGTGCATACAGTTTTCAATTGTTACAATAAAAAAGTAACAGTTTTTTAAATGAGAGTTTTCTTGAGTTTTAAATTCTTATCTTTAGAGATAAGGTTACTGTATTTCACCTGTATGCAGAGGCCATTTCATAGTATGGTGGGTGTTTTTTTTTGTTTTTTTGTTTTTACATATTGCCTGAACATGTTACAAAAAGCGAGCAAAATCAAAATACTTTTCAAAGAAATCAATATTTTAAGCTGTTTGCTGACCCATGCCACAAAAGATTTCATATTCCACGGATGTTGATTTGCAGAGTACTCAAGCTTTTTGCAATGCCCATACAGAATCTGTTATTTTCATAGAGGAGGAAAATATTTTAATGTCATGCTGAGTGTCAAATAGTGCTTTCTGTTTTCATATAATGTAATTTATAAAATACATATACAAATTTACTTTATAAAAAGTAAATTTGTATGAAAAAGAACACACACTGTTCTGTCAGGAATGTCTTTATTCCTGCAAGAACAACCATCAGGCCAAGAATGCATTTAAAAATACCAAATAAATGTGTCATTAATATCTGATTTTGGATTTTGTAGTTTAGGTTACACTATACTAAAGAAAAAAAAACACAACAGCATTGTTTAATAAACTAAAGTTAAAATCCCACACTGGAAAAAAATTAATATTATCCTGTTTTTTAAAGCAGACCTTGATTCAAACTAATCTGCTCAAATGCAAACGTCTACTCTTATCAGTAGGCTGCTCATGCTCCAGTTCATATGTCATTACTAGATCTCTCAAGGAATTCTTCCTTATGTTGGCATCAGGCAATAATTTCCATTGTATAATAGATTTTCATTCAAATGCCATAGACTACTGCAAAAAGAAAGCTGATTAAACATAACAAAGGTCTACATTCTTGTTCAGCCTTCTTAAGGCAGAATATAATGCCAATAAGCAGACCTTTTCCAAGACTTTTGGAAGTATAACAATTTCTGCATTTTGTGTGAACTTGATCCTGGTTTACTGAGGCCAACAGCAGTCTTGCTGCTGAACTCAGCATGATAAAGCTTGGAACTAAAGCAATTTTAGGTGGTTGTATATGTTCATGGATGATCGTGGAAAAAGTCTAGCAGTATATTAACTTTTTTAAAAGATAAAAATCCTAAGCTAGGAGCTACAGCCTCCATTTCAACTATTTCCCCAGGCAAAGTCATCCAGCCTGAATTATGACCCTTCTTCCTTGAGTTAGTAGAATGGTTTTCATTCATTTTCTTCTTCTCACTGTGCTTTTTGAATCTGACTGAACTCTGCCCTTACTCCATTCTCACTGTCACATTCATTCCCTTTCCTTTCTTCGAAGAGCTTTTATGTCATGATATTTCCATGCAGATACTTACTGTTACAGGTAACTCTCTAAAAATGTAAATTGAGAGATGTGGCAGATTAACATTGTTTAGCATACTTCGTTCACATAAGAAAAAGGTTATTAATCTCTTGCCTTCTACTAACTGAACAACACTAGATAATAATGAATATCCAAACATACCATGAGAGAGTAGATTTTGCTCTTTTTACTGAGTCATGTTAATTTCAAGACCAGGGTCATTAGCACTGGAGGTTTGAGGAATCTTAATACTAAAGATACTAGGGCAGCTGCTACTGCTTTTTTTAAGCTAAGCAAGAATTTTTAAAAAGTATACGCCTGTATGTCATACAAAACTTCACCAAATTATTCAACTAACTTCTGATACCTGTAGCAGTAAGTGATGATGCATCTTTTCTTGAAAAGCTGAATCCTCACACAGTCCAGCTGAAGACATCTGTTGTGAGCTCAGAAACTGATGAGTCCAAGGAAGAGATATGAAGCAAAGGAATTTTATACAGCTACTAGATTCAAGCTATTTTATATGGTTAGAATTTGTTAATACTGTATTTTTCACAGAGGAATAGAAAGCAAAAGTGTTTTAGCAACTCCCCTGGTAAGCTACTAACTCGTTTCTTATTATTAATAGCTCTTAATATAGTTCTTTTTACTCTGTGTCTTACAAACTCTTTTCTTTTTAACTGACATCCCATATATATAATAGAGCAGTAACGGATACAATTTTTTGATGTGATACTACTTTCTGAACAGAAGATGGCTCTCAGCAGTTTTTAGGTGAAACTTCTCTCTGCAATTTGCTGTATTAATGATAAAACTGAATATTTTTGAAAAAGCAAGATCTAAAGATGACTCGTCCCACAACTGTGAAGAGATAAAAACGGGGAGAGTAACTTGCACTTAGTTCTACACTAAAATTAGCAGGAAAGGAAAATTTATATTTCAAATTTTGAAGAAACTACTGGACTATACAGCCACTTGCCGTATGATTTTATATAGGCTCAAACAAAATCATGATAAAACAAACTAATATCAAAACATAATCCTGTCACTATGGAACTCCTCCATACTCTACCAAAATTGGGTTCTCCCAAAAGCTAAAGGAAGAGGAGATTGGCTGTTGTGTTGAATTGTCATGCTTACTTTTGCTGAAGCACCAAAAATAAAATTACTACTACAGCAAATTTCAAGTCATGTTTTAAAATGTGAAATTTAACCATCAGTCACAGAATCATAAAAATAGATCTGGAAGGTCCTTTGCAATTTAATCTTGGCCTGTCCCAGTGCAGGACTGGGTATGCCTACATCCCTTCCTTGAGGTATCTATTTAATCTGCCCTTATAAACCTCCAATAGCAGAGATTACAGAGTCTCTCAAGGCCATTCACTTTAACACTCCATTATTTTTGTAATTAAAAAACTTCCTCCCACATCTAACCTACTTTACTTACTGTAATTTAAGCCTCCAATTTCTTTGTTCTTTCTACCATGGACAGGAAGAACTTATTTGCTTTCCAGTAGCTACATTTCACGGACATGAGAATTATTCTCTCTTCTCCAGAACAAATGCTCTCATTCCTTCAACTTCTTCTCTGCTTTTGTTGCCAACCCTTGCAGTATATGAGCCTGTAACTAGAACAGCAATTACTTTGGTAGTAATTGGAGAAGACTAAGGATGGGAAGTATAAAGTGCTTATTAAAAAAGAAAAAAAACCCACACATTAACAGTAACTGGACAAAGAACTAAAACACATATCTGGAGGCAATCATTTCCTCAAAATAAGGAAGATGAAATAGCTTTCCCCTTCTCTGACTAACAACAAAATAACCCAAAATACTTATGTTACACATTCATGTATTATACTTTCAACAATCTTACATACAGTATTTTAATGAAGCAGCAATGACTCACTTTAATTATAAGTGGACAAATAACTGAAATAACTAAGTCAATCAAGATAAACTTAAGTCATAAACCTAAAAAATATTAAAGTTCAATGTGATTGGTATAGTTAAAACGACCAGACAAACTATTAGGAATGATGAATTTATGAACTAATAGGTCTTGTTCTTCTCCCGGTTTTGCTTGAATGAACTCTGAGATTTTTCCTCTAGTGGTGAAAGCATATTTAAATAATTCAGACATGCACAGAAACTCTTCCCACGATGGTAGACTGGGAACGAGAGTGGAAGGAGGGAAGACTTATGAGAGGTTTTAATGAACTATTTCAAATTCAAACAATGACCTCATTTTTTTCCCTCTGAACCAAAAACTTTGAAATTGGACAAACAGATTACCTTCTCTGTCTAATGCCATTTAAGCTGACCTTTCCATTTTATGCCAATAGTTTTCAATTACAGAACCAATCACAGTATATTTCACTAAATGGAGCCTGGTGATTAATTAAATCTAATTTTATCAACAGCCAGAATGTGAATAGCATATTAAAATAGGGTGAAAGAACAGCTTTGATTGATACACTGAGTTTTAATTTCTCATTTCTTGTCTCCCACTCTTTTTGTGGGAATTGAAGGTTACACATCATTGAACAGAGTAAGCCACTGTAACTCAAAGATAGCTTTAAAGATTTGACCTTCAGTTTTCTTTCCTGACATTTTTCCCCTCTTATATATAAATACTAAGTTGATGGAACTATGTCTGGAACTACGCCTTATGTGAGCCGTTTTTAAACATAAAATCCTTATTTGAAAGACAGGAGTGACATTACAAATAATAATCACGGTTTTTGTGACAGAAGAAGCTATATCCACCTTTGCTATAAACTGCTTTGACAAATTTGAGCAAAGCTTCCCCTCACTCCATATCTAAAGCTAAGTATTTAATTTCATGTTTACTTATTTATATAGTCTAATTTTTGCAGGCACCCACAGCTCCTACTGACGTCAGCGCTTAAGTCTGACAACGCTAGTCTTCGTTACCATACCTAAGTGTCTTGGACTTGAGTTATTCTTGCAGTGTTGCACTGATGAAGTCACGCAAAGATTTTGACTGTGCTCAAGAGCCGCATAAATTCTGCAAAAAACACAGCAGACAGAGCAGTGGTCCTGCGGAGCGTTTCCATAACCCTCTCCTCCAAGGGCAGGTTTTATTACAAACTCCAGACAGCAGAGCTTGCTGCCAGCCTCCTGCTGGGCCACAGCTGCAGGGCCAGTTAGCCCTGGTCCTCGCAGAGGCTTTCTTCCCAGTGGGCTTGCCTCTTCCGTCAGGCTGGTGCTCACCAGCCCTTCTGGCTGAGAGCTCAGGAGACTCTCTGCTCTGCCTCTGCAAAGCCTCTATGCATAAACATGCAACGCTCCTATTCCCTTCTCACTACCTTGGTTGAACTTAATATCCTTATGTTCCCCAACAGCTATGCTTCAGTGGCTCTAAGGCAAACTCCAGGGCTCCCTTAACAGCCTATTCTCTCCAGAACCAGGACAATTACTACCATGTAGACACAGAGGAAAATGATATTATCTCTGCTAGCACTATGAATTAGCTGTTCTTTGAAAACTGACTTTTTACTGATGACCGTTACAATTACAAGGGATTAATATTATTAGTCCCTTTTTTCTCCTAGCTAGATATTTCAATACTCAACAAAACTGAACTTTAAAATGTCTCGGGTCTGGGGAGGAGTCAAAAGGGAAACACATTAAATTGTCAGTACAATATATATTAGAATACACGGACTCATTAAATTTCACTTTTCATTCTATGAATATTAAACACTAATGAACTCTCACGTACAAAGACTTTAAAGTGAAACATCAGAGAGCTATGACTTAGCTCATACACAGAGAAAGAAAGTTGTCTAGGGAAGCTAATAAAGGCCACAACCACAGAACTACCATAAAACCAAAACATACAATAGATGGAAGGGAGAGATGAGAGAAAACCTTATTTTAAGAAGGCTACAAGTAATTGCAATAACAGATTTTAAAAAGTCTCTGTATACACACTTCCACAAGAAAAATTTTCATATAAAATACAAAGAAATGAAAAGCAATTACATCACAGTATGTAGTCCTACTCATGCATGTATTCCTAACATACTTATATATGGACTGAGAGCCCATAAACATCTCTTGCATTGGATGACTTGAGAAGAACTTGTAAAGAAAGATGACAATCCTTAAAGGAAGGATTTGTAAATGCAAACTAAAACATGATAATAGCTATATTTTGGTGTCCCTTTTCCCTCCCGGTTCTCCAATACCTATAGCTATGAACATAATTAAAAGACAAAATAGTGATTATGTGAATGTGTAAATGAGTTAATAAGGTAATATGCACTATTTGCATCTCATCATGCCCAAAATATAAGGGGGGGAAAAATATCTAAGGATGAATAGGAAAAGGAAAAAAAAAAAAAAAAAGGCAGGTCAAGCAAGTGACAGCTGATCTTTCAACCATCTATGATTTATGTTTCTTGCTCCACCATTTTATTCATATACACCAGCCTTTCCCCCAGCTATAGAAATAGAGGTTTCTTCCCCTCACCTCCCTCCCTCCCAAGATGAGGATTCATAGTGGCAAAATGAAAACCAACCTGAGAGACAGGCAGCATTTGGAAGTGCAATCTAAAGCACTGGACAGAAATATAGTGAGGCAAAATCCAATCCAATACAATCCACGACACAGATAGAAAACAAAACTCAAAGTCAAAGGCCTCCCTAATTTTATGCAATAGGTGGAACTATGTATCCAGAGTATTTTTTAAATATGAAATTCTACAAAATCAGAGTTATCAGCATAGGATGGCTAGCACAACATATTCATATTGCATATTATCAATTCAACAGAAAAATTTTATACTATCACACTGGTCAATAGTATAGCACACATGCTATACAATGATGTATTAACATCCAAATAATAATTTCTACAATATTTCCAAAAACATTTAAAGACAGAAATACAATAAGCTTCTTTTATTAGATTTATCCATTCTATAAACATATGTAGCATATATAAATATTCTAATACATTTATCACCATAGCAACATTAACAGTCAATAAATATCAACAGTAACCAAGCCCAATACAAATTCAAAGGAAAAATGTTAATATCTGTACCTTTAGATCCTGCATAAGGCCATCTGAAGAAGCCCTTCACTTAGGTAAAGCTGATCAGATCTCCACAAACTCTAAATAAAGCATACCTCTACCAAACTTTTATGCCCAGTCTTTTCTAAGCAGTGCAGTCAGAGCCCCCAGAAGCACCTGTGCATATTCATGTGGCTCTCTGAGTTTACACAGGTGAAGCCTGTTAATCCTCTGATTGCAGCTTAATAAGCAAATCCAGTCAAGGTGAAAGAGAAGGAATAAACTGAAGTTATACTTCTAGCTATGCTCGGTGTGAATGTTAATAGAAGCAAGAAAAAAAAAGCAGCATTTTTTTTTTTACTGCATTGAAGATCCGCACCTCTGCATTCTCACAAAAGTGCAAATCTATTGAATAGGAAGATTTTGATTTTTGCAGAGAAACTTTCACAGTACAAACAAATTTTATTAAGCTTTTCCCATGGACATATTTTCAGCAACAATATCTGGAACAGTTGTAATTATATATTCATCACAGATTTTTCATTAAGAGAGTGTCTAAGAGCCCTAGCTAAGAATCATAAGCCCACTGTGCTCAGCAGCAAAACCTAGCCTTTGCCCAAATGTGTTTACAATCTAAATCTAAATAGATGAGCAGAGAAATACAAACAAACAATGAACAGTATCATTCAGCATGAAAAATATAGCAGCCTAACTACTACTATGTTTAAGATACAGTCATCACAGCAAATGAATTATTTTTTTAATTAAAGAATAATTGCATTATTAGTTTACCAGTTTACCTTGTGCTCTTCACAAGCACCTACACAAAAGTGAGACTGGAGTTTAGACTGACTTACACTGGCTGATAGGAGTCAGTGTTTCAAGACCAAATGAAAGTGGTAATCTGTGACCACTTCAGAATTAAACTCAAGCAGGGAATGTCTGATGTCTTTCATTACATAAAGTAACTAGTGGGCCATCACAACAGGGTGGCATTATCAAAGCAGTAGCCTTGAAGCAGTAGGCTTCTCCTTTTCTGTTGTCAAGTCCAGGGAGAGAGACACAACACTAATTGAGGTGTTCAAGCCCAAGTAAATATTCAGCTCTGTGAATAGGAAAGGCTGCCTCTCTCTGAAAATAAGGAGAAAAAATCCTGACTTTCCATTTATCTTCAAACAAGATATTGCACAATAACCTGAAACCAAAAGTAACCAGTGACTGCCTGGCTGGGCCTCAGGCCAGCCCCATCAGCAGGCTCCTCAGGAGAGGCTGGCATCCCTGCTTGACCCTTGCTGCTCTGCTTCTCAATATTTTTTTTTAATAACTGGTCTGCAAACATTGTAAGATATAATTTTCTTCATATATTCCTTTGTACATTTAGCAGGACTCTCATGCCTTCACTCATTACAGAGTCAGCACCAACTTAAGTCTGTATTAAGTACCTATCATTCATCTATGTTCAGGTATTCAGCTGTCAGTCTGTATTCAGCACCATGCTATAAGCAGATGGTTTCT